TGATGACTACTCAAAGTTCTGGTTCCCAAAATCCAGAGAAATAATGGCATCTCCCGCAGTGGGCGCCAGCTGGGCCAGCTCCTCTGGCTCTTCCTTCAGCGTGGTGAACAGGAAGTGACTCTTCTCAGACACAGACACCTCGCCACTCTTCTCAAAGATGCTGTTCATGGCTGTCACATGTGGCTTGAACAGGGGCTGGTCTGGTCCATGGAGAATACCACGTCTTCTCAATCTCACTCAGGACGTAGTTCACACCCATGATGGACTGGGCCTGCAGGTTGCGTGGGTTGCAGATGACAGTCTCTTGCGTCTCCAGCCACATGTATTCCTCGTGTTTCGCCAGCATCCATTACTGGCCACTCACCACCTGACCCTTGGTGCACAGATTCTGCTGACTTTTGGTCATGTTCTCTGAGTCCAGTGCATGGTAGAACTGGTAGGCTGAGCAGCCAAGCAGCTCCTCTGGGTGGTAACCAATCAGTTTTGTGATTTTTGTCATCATACTAGGTGAACTTCATGTGCATGCCTTGGCAGCTCAGGAAGGTATTGCTGTCCAGGGGGATGTCCATGTGCGATGGGTGCTGGATCAGCTCACACATGATGATCAGGCAGGAGAGCGGAGGCTCCTTGTAGCTGCAGAAACCGCCACGTGGGAGCAGTTGTTGTAGACCTTCACCTGGCCCGTGCAGTGCAAGACCTTCCAGGTGGCCGACTTGAGGTTGACAGCGAGGCCTCGATGGTGACTGTGCACTTCACCCTCATGAAGAAGTCCTGGTCTGTGGACATGTCTTTGCTTTCCCAAAACCAGAGCCATCTTCGAGACTCAGGTTCTCACGGATCTCCTCATGGTCACAGGGATGAGTAGAGATACTAGGTCCTGTTAACTCCACCTATGTGAGTCCCATGAACTTGCTGGCGTTTTCCGACAGAAAGATCATGTCTCCATCTTGGGTCACCACGGCAATGAAACTCTCCAAGGCTTTTAGGTACATGTTGTCCATCTGCCGGTTAGCCTCAGCTTCAGACCCATTTTCAGAGCAAAAGAACAGGAGCTTGTGTGTTCGTAGGGAGCTGATGGCCAGTCACGTGATGGAGGCCTTGTCCAGGTGGAGCTCACACTGTGCGGCAAGGGCAGCTCGTCGGCCGGCTCACAGAAGACCTCCGTCTCCTTGCTTCTCTGGCACCTTGCTGCATCCTGAGACTTCTCCTTCCTCCTCTGCAAGCCACTCCCTTTCTTCTTGTCAGTTGTCATTGTCGCTGTGGCCCTTTGAGACACCGAGCCCTTGGGCTTTACAGCCTGTGGGGGCTGCAGCTGCTCCCTTCGCTGTGGCCCTTGCTCACCCCCTGAGGCCTGGCTGGTGTTAAAGGTCCTAAGCGCTCGCTGGCCCAAGAGTCCCATAGAGTCTGGTGGAAGTTTGCGGGAGGCTGTCTAGGTGCGGGGAAAGGGGATGGAGAAAGGTGACAGGGAGGAACCTGTACCAGGCGGCAGGGTCAGGGCGGGGAGTGGGAGGAGGCTGTCAAATGCCTAGAAGGGCAGCGAGAAGGGGACCGAAGTTCCTTCTTTCCTCAAAAAGGCGTCACTTTCATGGATTTTCCAAAAAAAGAAAGAAAAAAAAGAAGCGTCCCGACAACAGTTAGAAGAATCCTGGGCAGGCGGCTGAGATGACCACACAGCCTCAGGACACTGCCGAGGATTGTCCGGCCGGCCAGGCGGGCCGAGGATGCCCGAGCGGGGGTGGGGGCGCTCCCGAACGGCTCCCCCTGCTCCCTACCCACTTTCTCAACATTGGTCTTTAAGGGTTTGTAACAACAACAAAAAGGTCTTGTATGAAATAGGGTAAGTACAGTTTTAAAAACTATAAAAACTAGCAGTCTATTACGTCAATATCCAAACCATGAAGATCAATCCAAGTTCTGTGAAGTTTAGAACTGAATCAGACATAAGTGATACGTATAATAGTTACTGTGCTAAATGAGAGTTAGGCCAACACAGTAAAGAAACGTGATTTCCGTTTCCCAATAGTCCAGGTCAATTAAAAGGATTTCATAGAGCCAAACTGAGCCTTTCGGAGGGTGAGCTGTCTATATAGAGGGGTTATATGAGTAGTAAGCAAAGCAAGCGCTAGGTAGTTTGAAAGCTAAGGATACTACAATAGATTCCTGAGCCCAATGGGGTCCCATAGTTTCCACACTCGCTGCTGGAGGAAGAAAGAGAGTTTGGATAAACTGAAGGCATCTTATGTCCAGTGCTACAAGTGGAGGAAATGGCAAGGAGAAAAATGGTGTGGGGGGTAGTGGGTCTTGTGTAGCCAACTTCTGTCTCCTTCCAGGTTGGACAAAGGTATGTAAACAAGAATTCTTAAGGACTGGTACTGTTTTCTGGCACAGGGCAAATGTTTACCCAAAATACAGCCCAACCACCTCTTGTTTCTTGTTACAGAACCTTGATTTTGTTTGCAGTTCACTGACCAGCCCTGGGTGACCACCTTGTATTCCCCGCCTTCCTCGCAGTTAGAGAAACCCATGGGACACATTTCTAACCAATAAGGCATAAGGGAAATTCTGGCAAAATTTTACCTTTGTGATTAAAGACAACAGAAAAGTCTGGTATCATCCTCTCCACCCTTCCTTTAGATTTCTGTTAGATCATTAAAACTGAAGCTTACACTATAGCAGCCTTTTTTGACCCTGAGGAGAAGTTCAAGAAAACCACAGAAGCTTGACATTCCAGAGCACTGCCAGGCCTGGCTCCAGTTATGATTTACTTGCAGCTGAACACATTAATAAATGATACGTAAAAGACTTCTGCCCAGCATTAGTGAGAGGTAGAATTGAAATACGGAGTTCGTTGGGTCACAATGTTTGGACTTGAACCTGGAGCCATTTAACTGTTCATGGGTAATGAACAGGAAAAAGATACAGAGTATTTGCTACTGAGGGGGTGGTAGAGATTGAATCAGACCTACTAAAGAAGTACTTGAAAGGACAAGTGTCCCTGTTTAGTGACTCATGTGGGAAACCCAGGGTAGTGAAAATGATAAATGACCTTGGAAGTAACAACAATGCAAAGAAAATATAGTTAAATCCACAAAGGATTTGTTAATAGAAATCATCTTTGGGAAGTGGGAATGTGGCAGCCAGGTTAGTCGTTGGGGATTTTATACTTTTCATTTTTTTTCCCTTGTTAAATATTAAAGTAAAATAATAAACTGCATTACTCGTATTCAATAAATAAAGGGTTAAGAAGTCGAAAGTAATATGAATATCAGAAATAGGGACCACATTTTGGAGGAAATATTGTGTTCCATTTTGGATTTGTAATGAGCTTTCTGTTAGAATACATTTCAGCCTGACTATTATTCTAAACATGAATCTGATTATCATTTGTAATATACCAAATGACTAAGACAGCTGCAAGGCAGTGGATTAATCAGAAGTAATTAGATCATTTAAAAATAATGATAAGGGCTGCTGATATAAAGTGAAGTCCTATATTTGATTTTGGGGGTGTGGGTGGATGGGTAAATAATTTTTGTGTGTTAAAAGAAGTGGAGTTTGACCTTCCTTACAACTTGTTAACAGGTTGAACCTGTGCCTGGTTAATATTGTTTTATAACTGGTTAAAAAAACCTCCTTCACCTGTGTTTTTTGTCAGCAATCTATAGCTATTAAAAAGTTAGTGATGGCACTGTCTGATTTGTGTGTTTGTGTGTGTGGTTGTTTGTAATGGGCAAGCTGGCTACGTGGAGTGTTGGTGAAAGGCTGCTGTGTGAGGCTATTTCCTATTTGTCTTTCTCTCAGTGGGAGCTCCCTTTGTCCATTGTTTCCTCGGCACAGAACAGAGGATTAATATGTTGGTGTTCATTTTCTACTTCTCTGTGTTCAAAGAGGAAAACAGTTGCTTCATTCTGCTCATTGCTCCTGCAGTTCTCCCAGGGGGTTTCGGACTTATCCAAGAATTTTTGGGGGGAGTTGAAGTATAACCATCACCAAGATGGTTCTGTTTTTAATGACATTCATTTTAGTTTAACAAGTTATTACTGGTGTTGCTCTATTTATTATAAAAGACACCCCTTTCTTCTTTGCCAAGTGCTAAACATGAGCCCTACGATGGTAACAAAGAGGGGATGTGTTCTCCTTTTTGCATCATTTTACTCCATCTGCTATTTTTGTTCTTGTTTCTAAATGTCACTGAATTTTGGTTCTGATATTTATCAGGCAGTGTACATCACCGAGATTTCAAACAACAAGCTAAATTCTGACTGCAGGCATGATTTCTTTGACTCACACGGTGTTTAATTTCTGAGTCAGTTGCCAACATTTAAAAGTCTAGTGGGGGATGTGAGGGCGATCTGGATGTGACATCTGTCACCCCGTCGATTGCTGGGGTTGACTTGGCTGATCTGCCTGGCGAGGCCGGTGTCCCCTTCCTTCCTCACCCAGCCATGTGCATCCCTCCAGAACCTGCGTGCTCTGTCGAAGAGAACAACCTCCCTTGCAGAGGAGAGGACGGGTCTTGGGTCAAGAGTAGAGCAGTAGCTGTGACCAGCTGCTAGAACCTGCAAACAAGCTCTTACGGTCCGTTTATAAGAGAACATAGGATAGTCGAGCTTCCAGGACTTCAGACACACCCAAATGAGGCGCTGCATGTGGAAGTCTGCCTTTCTTTAGGAAAATAAATATAAGTCAAGTAGGGCCCTGGCCAGGTGGCTCAATTGGTTAAGAGTGTCATCCCAATACGCCAAGATTGTGGGTTTGATCCCTGGTCAGGGTTCATACAGGAATCAACCAGTGAATGCATAAATAAGCAGAACAACAAATCAATGTTTCTCTTCATTTCCCTCTCCCCCCTCCTTTCCTCTCTTTCTAAAATCAATAAAAAATAAATAAAATAAAAGTCAGTGGGGGTAAGGGACAGGGAAAATGAATGAAGGTGTTCAAAAGGTACATAGTTCCAATTATAAGATAAATAAATTCTGGGGATAGAAACAGAGTCAAGTGATTTCAACTTTTAATGGCAATTGACTTACATTTTATATTTTTTGTGTGTTTTTTTTAACCCTTCTTATCTGTAGCCAGTAGATGTTCAATTTCTCTTCTTTAATGGTGCTGTTTTTTCTTCCCCAGGCTAAAGATCTAATAATCACACCAGCCACCGTTTTAAAGGAGAAACCAGACCCAAATAATATGGTTTTTGGAACCGTTTTCACGGATCACATGTTGACAATTGAGTGGTCCTCGGAGTCTGGATGGGAGAAGCCACATATCAAGCCTTTTCAGAATCTGTCCTTGCACCCTGGCTCGTCGGTGCTGCACTATGCGGTGGAGGTCAGTAGCAGCAGTGTGCTTGCTCTACCCTGTGCTCCCCAAGCAGCTCCCTCTGCTAACATAGCTTTTGGGCAGTGTGGCCTTTATCATATTTACTCAAGGAAGTCATAAATGTCTTTAAAACTTTTCCTATAGGCAGGCTCATTGAAGGTAAGTCTTAACTAAGTATTTAGATACTCTTGAGTTTTCTATAATGTCAATGAAAAGTCATTTAGAGCAAATAGGAAGGAGGGTTGGTAAGAAAATTAGCAGTCAAAAAGCCTGTACTTTTTATTATTTATTTTTAATCCTAACTCAAGGATATTTTCTACATTGATTTTTGAGACGATGGAAGGGAGGGAGCAGGTGGGAGAGAGAGAGAAACATTGATGTGAGAGACACATTGAGTAGTTGTCTCCTGCATGCCCCCCAACCAGGGCTGAGGATCGAACCACAACCAAGGTATGGGTCCTTGACTGGGAATCAAACCCAAGACCTTTCGGCCCGCCTGCTGACGCTCTAACCACTGAGCCAAACTGACTGGGGCAAAAAGCCTGTGCTTTTAATATTTTACTAAGTCACCTGTTTGCCCAGATCTTCTGATGATTGTGAAGAGGCTATTAAGTACAATATTATGGTTAGATTTTAATTCTAACTGCATGTTTTTATGACCAGCAATAATGTGTATTTATGCATGTTAGGGAACATGTAACTAAAGGTCATCCTTCAGGTAGGAGTGGAATAATTATAAACTTAAAAATATTAAATATTTAGAGATGTTGTCTCTTGTCCTTCTCAGGATTTACATTTACCCAGATACACAATACACTCCCCATTCCCTCCACCTTGATTTTATTTTACTTATTTGCAGCGTGGTGGATATCTTTCTCAGAATATTGGGGTGCTGGAAATAAGCAATAGTCTACCTAGCAAGGGACTGAAAGATGGTAGTAGTAAATATTCATAACAGTAATGATAACATTACTTTTTAAATTGAATTCCTGCAATGCACCCTGAAACTGGGTACCTTATATGAGTCATCTCATGTTACTATTTTAAGTGAGAGAACATATGTTTCTGGATTCAGATATTCTGGGCTCACATTCTGTCTCTCTTGCTCCAGAGGTAGCTCTATGACTTGGGAAACTTATTTAATCCTGTGTGCTTCCAATTCCTTTACCTATTAAATTGAGGTAATGATAATACCTACCTCATGGTGTTACTGTAAGAATAAGGTAAGGTGACTCATTGAAGCGTATAGAGCCATACCCGGTGCGTAATGAAAGCCTAGTTGTTAGCTATTATTATTATTATTATTATCCCTTGAAGCACTTTTATCATCTATTATAGAAGCAGGTTCGGAAAAATTAAGTTTCTTGCTCAAAATTATACAGCATTAAGGGAGGAGTCAGGGTTTAATTGCCACGCTCGTACTCCCTGTGATGTTACCCCCAAACATACCCACTAAAATTACAAAAAGGCCTGTCCAGTTAACTTGTTCAAAGTTATAAATTCAAATAATTGGAAAGATATTAGCTGCCCCAAGGTATCTACTAAATGCTGAATTTAGAAGTCTAAGCTTCCATTCCCATCTCTGTGTCTTAACTGTACCAACTTGGGTGAGTTCTTTCATTATTTAGCCCAAGCCTCATTTTCTTTAATTATAAAATAAGAATGGTAGCTGCCCTTGCCTCTGTCATTATATACAGTGAAGAGCGAATGAAATAAAGTGCTTATGAACTTGAAAGAAGGAGTCTGGCGGTGATTCTCAAACAGCTTGAAAGGGTGAGAGGCAATCTAAAGTACAGGGCTCAGGGCAGAGGCCCGGTTGCCTGGACCTAAGGGTGGCGGGTACCACATCAGGTATTCTTGTGGTGATAGTGTTCTGTTATGTGAATATGTCCAGTGTGGTTTCCTTCTGTGAACATTCATGTATGTAGTAAGCTGGTGTACTTGTTCATGAATTTCTCCAAGTCAGCAGTTCTCACAGTGTGGTCCACAGACCCCTAGGATCCCCTTTCAAGAGATTGCAAGGTTAAAACTCTTCATGGTAATACCAAGGTACTATTTTTTCACAGTGTGTTGACATTTGCACAAGGTACAACTCTGACACATGTCCTCTGCTAGTTAGTCTTATTCTTTATTGCCATGCATCACAGTATTAAAAACAGTATCAGTTTTCTTTAGGATATTCTTGGTGAAGCAGTAACAATTATTCATTCTCTTAAATCTCAACTCTTCAGGAACTGTCATTTTAGTGTTTTGTGTGACAAAATAGCAACTTCTCATAAAGCACTTCTGCATACTGAAGTACTAGGGTTTTCTCAAGGAAAAGCAATTGTGAGATTGTTTTGCATTGTGAGCGGAAAAGCAATTGTGAGATTGTTGTGCATTGTGAGCGGAACTGGCTGCTTTTAAAAAAATCTAATAATCAGTTGTACTTGAAAAATCCAAGTATAGTTATTCAGACCTGGGCATTTGGTAAATGTTTTCTTGACTGTGACTTCAAGTGAAACAAGGGACTGTACTTGGTGCCAATGATAGCATTTTAGTCCTCAAGTAAAAATTAGAATTTTAGAAAACTTGTACTCACCACCGTGAGCTTAACCCTTTCTGATATTAGATACAAGGCGGGGCAAAAGTAGGTTTACAGTTGTAAATATGTGAAACACAGTTTATTCTTGTAACATTTATTAATTATTGTATTATTTTCCATATGAACAACTGTGGGTTGTGACTACTTTTGTCACACCCTTTAGTTTTCTGATGGTATTAGTGGTGATCTTAATAAGTTTTAAAACATACATATATTTTTTCTTTTTAAAAAAATCCTCACCCTAGGATATTTTTTCCATTGAAGGGAGGGAGGAGAGGGAGAGATAGAGAAGCATCAACCTGAGAGAGACACATCCATTGGTTGCCTCCCGCATGCACCCCAACCTGGGCCAGGGATCCAACCTGCAGCCCAGGTACATGCCCAGGAATCGAACCCGAGACCCTTCGGTATGCAGGCTGATGCTCCAGCCACTGAGCCACGCCAGTCAGGGCTGACAACCTTATCTTTTAGCTGAAGCTTTACTCTGATTATATTTAATAAATTACTCATATATTTGCCCTTACAACATTGAATCTTGTGCTTTTAAATTGTGCTACATGATCCATACTTCTCTTTTTACATGTAAACTTTAAGGCTATTAGCCTCTTAACAGCCCTACATTTTATTATGATTCAGTTCAACATATTTTCTCATTTTCATTATTTTTCTTTGACTCATGCTTTATTTTGTAATGGGTTTCTTTTCCAAAATGTGGACGCTTCTTAGTTATAATTCTGATATTGATTTTTGGCTTATCTTCTGGTGGAAAAACCATACATTCTGCAGGTGGTGTGGGCTGGGTTTTGTTTGTCTAGTAGGTTACTTTGTTGATCTTTTTCAAATCTTTTATACCTTTATTGAGTTTATCCTGTTTGCTCTGCTGATTGCCTAGAAAACCCGTGTTAAAAATCTCCCATTAAAGTGACCGATTTTGCTCTTTTCTCTATATTTGCCGGTAGGTACCTACTTCTCAGTCTTTTCACACCTCTGTGCAGTGATTTGTCCCGGGCGGCATGTTGAGAAAGGTGACAGCCCTCGCACAGTGTAGTCTTGACCTGCTTGGTTTCTAGGATTCTGGGACTGAACCAGCTCTGGTCACTCACATCTAGAATACCTACTACCCAGAGTTTAAATGAGCCAGATTCAATGAAAAGATACATGGGTATTTTGAGGGGCGCCCCTGGGGCCTTTGGTGTCACCTCTGTTGTCCCCGCAGTTAGTCCATGTTGTGCTATTGGGGATGTTTTCCTTCCAATCCCTGTAAATGTATTATTTAGCAGCATGACTCTGCCTAAGCACATAATAATTGAATTCCCACCAATTTTGGTAATAAAATGACTTGAAAAAAAAATGTTTTTACTGATTTTAGAGAGAGAGGGAGAGGAAGAGAGAGATAGAAACATCGATGAGACAGTCATTGATCGGCTGCCTCCTGCACGCCCCCTGCCAGGGGTCAAGCACACAGCCCGGCATGTGCCCTGACCGGGAATCGAACCAGGGGCCTCCTGGTGCGTGGGTCGATGCTCAACCACTGAGCCACACAGGCCAGGCTAAAATGACTTCGATCACGGTTACCGTAACCAGCCTGTGACTTGTTTGCCTTTCTAGATTTAGGGATCTGGTTGGGGTCTGCATCAACAGCTTTACCGGACGAAGGAAATGAGCCCCCACGGACAAGTCTTCCTTTGGAACGCGGGATTGTTTCCATTTAGCAGTTAACGCCTAAGCTTCGCCTCTCTTTCCTCTTCAGCTGTTTGAAGGCATGAAGGCATTTCGAGGAGTAGACAACAAAATCCGCCTCTTTCGGCCAAGCCTCAACATGGACAGGATGCGCCGGTCTGCTCTGAGGGCAGCTTTGCCGGTGCGTAAACAGGGGTTTCTTTTGTGTTTCTCTTGACATCACGCTTCACTGGGAGGTTATCACCAAGGAAATAATTTGGGAATGCTTAGATACTCAGAACACTGACGCTATATCTGATTTACTTTGTAATTAGTGAGGCAAACATGTAAGGAAGTAACCAATACCATTTGGCAGTTCCCCAGTCTATTTCTTTGTCTATTTCTTTGGGGATCAATGTGTACATGGGAGACAAAAAATGAGGAATAAAGATGTGCCTCAAACTAAAATAAGTAAAATTCAAAGACACTGTGAAATTGTAACATTGAAAGTGGAAAACATGATGTGCCACACAGGTATTTTGGGGATATTTTGCCTAATTGCTTTAGACACCAGCAGGTATATAGTTATTTAATTCATTATTTTGACACTTTACCTCAACTTTTATTTATTTATTTATTTATTTATTTATTTATTTATTTATTTATTTATTTATAAATATATCTTTATTGACTTCAGAGAGAGGAAAGGAGAGGGGGAGAGAGAGATAGAAACATCAATGACGAGAGAGTCATTGATCGGCTGCAGCCCGCAACCCGGGCATGTGCCCTGACCGGGAATCGAACCCCAATTGCCTACCTAGGATCCTAGGTCGACGCTCAACCTCTGAGCCACGCCTGGCTGGGCTCAACTTGTATTTAAAACAACAACAACAACAGAACAAAAATGATATCGGAATGTTTTCCGATGGCCATTGAATGCTGGCTATGCCATTGTTACGGAGCAGAGCTCATTGTGAGGTGGGTTAGAGTTAGATGCTAAGCTTCACGCGTAGGTGGAGGTGATGTTGATGACTTGCATCCCCTGGGAGATGACCAGGCAGCCGTCCTGAAATGAAGGAAGTCTTTTCCTTTTCTATATTCTGAGTACCAAACCTTCAGGAACCTAGTCCAAGGTGTGCGTTAAAGAAGCCTGGGAGCAGCCAAACCCAAGCAAGGACTCCCTATTAGCCAGGCTGTTCCTTCTCCCGGTTTCTGTAGCCCATGCTTCACCCACTTCCTTCCGAGGCCATAATATGATAGCAGAAGGGAAATTACGGTAAGTTATTTGGACTTGGTCCTAGTTTCACCCTTTTATCATTACAGACAGGTCACTGGGGAAGACTTTAAAATGGGGACAGAGGGAAAGGGCAGTGACACTTGCTAGATATCAACTCTGCTGCGAACTGTGCCATGTGGTTTTACGTTCTTCACCTGGTTAATGATGACAGTGAGCCATGGTCAAGAAGGTGTATGTATTGTAAATTCTAGTAGCACCTTTCTAGAGAGAACACTCAAGCCCAGAGAGGTTAAAGCCACACAGAATGAAGAGTGAGAAAGTGGATGCAAGTTTTTAAATTCTTAGCCTGGTTCTCTTTCCACTAAATCATCTCTCCAGACAGCAGCACCAGGACCCAAGCAGGTGGTACAGGATGGCAATATGTCCTATATGATTGGCAATCTCAATTTCTGTGATATTACTACACTGCGACTGCTGTTAAAGATTAGTATTTAAATAGCCAAATCCTGATGTCATGAGCTCTATTCGGATGCATGTTTCTGACTTATACCTACCTTGGGAAACCCATCACATCTCTGAAAGCATGTTTCTCTATCCCGCCAAGTGTGTAGAAATTATTTTGCAAATTGTCACCCATTTAGTATATGAAAATCTTTTCCTCCTTAGAGATAAATTGCTCTTAGCTTTTGTTCATTTTCCCACTGGGTGATCTGTCTTTTTCTTACCAATTTTCAGGATATCCTAACATATTCCAGTATGATCCTCTGTTGGTTATGTTACAAATAACTCCGCCCAGTTTGCTGCTGCTTACATCTTTCAAAGAACAGCATTCCTTAAGTTTTAAGTAGTCAAATTGTATCCACTTTTTTTCTTTATGATTTGTGCTTTATGTCTTTTAAGAATTCTCTACTACTTTAAGGTGACAGTGACATTTGTATTTTTTAAATAAAAGTCTTATAAATTACACATTTAAGTGTATGCTCCCACTATAGTTGATGTTTGGGTGTGGTAAGAGGTAGGGATCCAATTTTATATGTTCCCCATGTGGATAGCCCATTGTCCTATCATCATTTGGGCAGAAAAAAGAGTTCTTGTTTGGTTGTCTCCCTCTTTTAACAGTCTGAAGCTTTCATGAGGATTATGTTCTGTCGCTACAAGTGAAGAAAATTCCAGTATTCATTATGTTTTTCATCTCTTCAGGGATTTGACAAGGAAGAGCTTATGGAGTGTATTCAACAGCTTGTGAAACTGGATCAAGAATGGGTCCCCTATTCAACATCTGCTAGTCTCTATATTCGTCCTACACTCATTGGAACCGAGGTGCCAGCTGACTCCCTGTTTTGGGGTACTTTGGGGGGGAAGTTATCATTGTTTATTCTCGTGTGACGCTTCCAGTGTGCAGGGTGAAGTAGCTCCCAGTGGCATCGTTAAGGACGCCTTCCTCCTGGTTATCGAGACCAGGTGTCAGCAAACGTTTTCTTTAAAGGGCCGGAGAGTAAATACTCTAGGCTTTGTGGGCCATCTGGTTTCTGTCTTAACCACTCATCTCTGCCCTTGCAGCACAGAAGCAGCCAGAGAGGCCGTTTGCCTTCCTCTAGTCAAGACTAACCGTTTTTCCGCAGTTTACTTCTTCTAGTGCCTGTGGCCCTGGCAGCACTTCTTCGGGTCTGGCAGTGGTAATGGTCTTGACATTTAAAGGAAGGAGAGCTGCTACTTTTTATTTTCATTTTCCTGAAGTCTTGGGGGGATTACTGGGTAAGGAGTGGGAGTGAAGGGCCCTCTTCCCCCATAACCAGTGAGTCGGGATTGATAGTAAAAATACTGCACTCTTAGTGGGTGGAAATTTTAAAAACAATTTTTCTATAAAGTTCACATTATTAAAGAAAACACTAAAAATCAACACATTTACCTCTTGTACAACACTACTTAAAGGGCAAAATCCTATTACCAAAATATTTCCCATATTAAAAAAGAATTTAATTTTTTTTTGTTAATCCTCACATGAGGATATTTTTTCCAGTGATTTTTTTTTTTCTTCTTTTTTTAAGAGAGAGTGGAAAGGAGGGGGAGAGACACAGAGAGAGAAACATCAATTGGTTGCCTCTGGCACGCGCCCCGATCAGGGCCAGGATTGAGCCTGCAACCAAGGTATGTGCCCTTGACCGGGAATCAAACCTGAGACCCTTCAGTCCCCGAGCCGACGCGCTATCCACTGAACCAAACCAGTATCATTTTAATCAATATCTTCTAAAACACTTCTTTATAGGTAATTAAAAACCTTAAGAGAAACTAAAAGCTTGAGTGCTTCAAACTACTGTTAATTGCAAATCAAGATAAAATCTTAACTAAAGAACATCTACACAAATAGTTTCTAAATTTTTCCTTTACCAGACAAGCAGCTAAGATTACATGACTATCAGGTTCAGTGCTGGATACCTAATAACCCTACGTCTAAAAAAGCCAGGGTTTGTTGATTTCAGCATCTGTTTTATCCAACTTCAACCTCTATAGTAACTCCAGATGGGTACAGCTATATGAACACACACACACTTTTATTTTTTAGGTGATCCTGATCAGTGTATAGGTGATTTGACCACAGTTAATAGCAAAATATGCACAGCCACAACCAAGGAAATTCGTTTGTTCGTTGCTCCTAGCCTTCCACTTTTTCAATCAGCCCCATTTCATCACTCTCCATTAGAGAGGTAGTGGAGTGAGACATTACTAAATAATATCGGGGCTGAGAATAAGTGTCATTAGGAGGGTGGAGCCTGATGGTAGGGACAACCCTCCGGGCTGTCTGGAGTCAGCTCACTCAGCCTCTTTGACCAGGTCCCAGGTTGTCACCACAGATCTGCAAGTGACCAGAAGATTGGACTTTTCAGCTGCACTCAAAGACAAGCTGCCCTTGGCTCAAGCGGAAGGTGATCGATTCCTCATATTCAGTTAACGCGTTTGCTCCCTCATTGGAGTGCCCTAAACACATTACTGGAATTGAGCTCAACTAGCGAAGCAGCCTGCTTTTGGTGAACACTAGCCTCAGATGCACAGGATACAATCTGAATAATGCAGAAACATGTTCCGTCACTTCTTATAAACAGTTTCCCATTCACAACTCCATTGGAAATCTTTCAGGATGAAATTTTCATTGAAGCTGGCATTAAAAATCTTGCTGCCAAATGGTCCACTCCTTGATTTCCGGTTCACTCCACAGGGAGCTTAAGGGCTTATACGTTTTGTAGACATGCCTCTCTTTTCCTTTTATCACCTTGTAAAATCGTTTTATTGCTCATATAATTTAACCTTAATCATCACAATTCCATGAAAAGAATTCCCTTTATTCACTGCCTTTGTTTATTTATGCTTATACATCTTATCTTTTCTCTTCACAATTAGCCTCTATAAATGACAGAAGCTGAATGGATTTGAAAACTAGGTGCTACAGCAGCAATTTGTAATCATTAACTTGGGTCTTGCTCACACTTTTAATGTATTCTTCTGCAACCTTATTTGATATATATATATATATATATATTCATTCCACTGTTTACAAACAATATTAAATTCTCATTTGCATAACTGTTAACATGTTTCATATTAACTGCCCCATGTTAGTATCTCCAGCCCTTGAGTCTGCTTTTAGAGAGCTCCAGCGTATTTGCATTGATTATAGCCTGTGATAATCAGCTTGTTATTACCAAACCCCTCCCACCAATGAACACCCTTTTGAGGCTGTTCTTGTCCATTTCAACTTTATCACAAGGGGTGATTGTTATGATCTTTATTTTTACTTTTTGGAGTTATGGTGCACCTGTTACTAATTACACCCCTCAGTTTATGGCACTTGTTGTCAGCGTCTTATGTGATTCCGGGAATCTCTTTTTTATTCCCTTTTGTCTTTTTCCCACTTTTCTCCTCTTCCCCTACTGGAAATTATTCTCATGTATTGAGTGAATAGTGTTTTGGTTTGTATTGTTTTTAATTAACTTTTATTCCCTTGTTTGTTTGTAATTTTACTTTATGTAAAGGATTTCGTCCTATAGATCTCATTGTGTTTCGTTTCTGCTCAGTACTGTTTTTCCTTTCTATCCAGGGTTCTCTGTGTATTTGCAGTCTATCACTTTTCAGTGCTGCATAGTACTCCATGCCTGACATCCACCACACTGTGCCCCAGTTCCCTTACTGGGATCCCATTTCCCTGTTACTTCATGTAATACTGCAAGAGCAATTTGAAAATATACAACCCAAGGAATTATTATTTTTTAAATATATCTTTATTGAATTCAGAGAGAGGAAAGGAGAGAGAGAGAGAGAGAAAGAAACATCAATGATGAGAGAGTCATTGATTGAGCCCGAAACCCGGGCATGTGCCCTGACAGGGAATCGAACCCCGATCGCCTGGATCCTAGGTCAACTCTCAACCGCTGAGCCACGCCCCGCTGGGCTCCAAGGAATTATTGAAGGAGTCATTGTTTGCTAGCAAAATGCCCCCCATGGCCCATCTTACTTTTTCCATCCCAAGAAAGCCCTGCTGCTTTTCAAGAATGTCCAGATTCTCTTTGATGAAACAGTCATTTGGTTTGTCTGCCTCACTGTCACTGGTAATATGAAGCTCTCCTGAGTGTCACTATGCTCTGTACTTTCTGTGCACTAACCGACAATAACCCTGTGAGTAGGTGTTACTGGCACCCCCTTAGAGATGAGGAAACTGAGGCCCAAAGAGGTGAAATAAGAACGCCCAGGCTCTTAACCTCTATGCTGCAGCATCTTTATGTATTAGCTACTGGGCTAGGTCCAGGGATGAGCAAAAACCCCTTCCCTGCTCCTAGTCTGTGGGAAATCCTTTTCAGATAAATGCATTGCTAATAGTTTTCCAGTCTGTGGCTTGCTTTTTGTGTCTTTTCACTATTTTGCCAGTACTTAATTTTAATGTAATTAAATTTTAAAAAATGTTTTGTGTTTTTTATTATTATTATTTTTTTGAGAGAGAGTTGGAGGGAGGGAGAGAGATTGAGAGATTGATGTGAGAGAGACACAGCGATTGGCTGCCTCCTGTACCCCACTAGGGTGGGGAACAAATCTGCAACCAAGGTGTATGCCCTTTCCAGGAACTGAACTGGCGGCCCTTTGTTGTGCGGCCCAACATTCTACCACTGAGCCACACTGGCTAGAGCATAATTCCCCCCCCCCCGCCAAAATTTATTTTTAGCATTGAAAGTATTCCAGATGTCCCCTTTTCCTCCCATTGACCCTTTTCACCCTGCTCCCACGCCTCCCCAGGCCTTCCCCACACTATTGTCTGTGTCCATGGGTTATGCATATATGCATATAAATTCTTTGGTTAATTTAAAGACACTTTTTCTAACTTCAAGGTCATCCTTTCTTTGTGTTTTAGAGTTTTGTTTTTTCCAATGAAATGAAATGCATTTGGAAGTGAACTTTGTGTAAGGAACTTAATTTTATTTCTCTCCATGTGGGTGCCAAGTTGTTCCATCACTCCCTGAGTGGCCCGTCCTTTCTTCCTTGCTTTCCAATGCCAGCTGTTGCTCTGCCGGATTTCCCTAGATGAACGCTGTTTCTGGCTCCCTGTCTGTTTGCCTCCCCCCATTTTTCCTTTTTACATAAATGGTAGCCATACTATGAACAGTTTTGTTTGTATTATTGTCTTACTTATAATTTGTCTTGAAGTTCAAGTTTTCCTTTGGGCCGAAGCGACTGGGTAGCAAACATTTGTTGGGGTTGGGAAGAGTGAGGGAGAAGCATTTTTCGTTGTTGTTTTGTTTATTTGTGGAAGTGATGATGGATGGAGTCAAGAGTTTAGTGTAGGACACGGTGATTTCAACCAGTGATAGCAAGTAGGTGGGTAGATTTACAAGGCTGCAATTTGGGAGAGGGTTTGGAACTTCAGTGATCCATTGTAATGCTTAACATAAAATGCCTTTAAAGCCAAGAGCCTGGATGAAGTTTTCAAGGAACTAACTGTAGATGATGATGAAAAGGAGGTGGGACTAAGCCCTGGGCCAGGCCAGTATTTAGAAGAGAGGAATCAGCTCGCAGTATGCGAAGCAGCAGCCGGTAAGGCAGAACGTAAAACGAGGGCTTGGTGCACTGGGGACGGAGTGAAACCCCCAGAAGCAACCATCAGCTGTGGCAGACCTGCCCACAGGCCCAGCGCGGTGAGGGCTGAGAGCTGGCTGTTGGGGCTGGCAACACGGAGGTCCTTGGCAGTCTTGATAAGCGTATTTCGGTGGGGTGGAGGGGCCAAAAGCTCGAGCATCACGGATTCAAGAGAAAATGTGAGGAAGGGAGGTTATGATGGG